TAGGGAAAGTGTTCCAACCCTTTTATCATTCGAGTTGCCCTTTTCTGCACATTTTCCAAAAGCTATAATATCCTTTTTAAGGTGTGGTGACCAGGACTTCGCCTCTTCTTCTAACAGCAAGTTCTTCTAACAGCAAGGTTCTAACAGCAAGTTCTCTGTTGAAACGAATTAACGCCTGCAGAGGATTGTCTAAGAGGAGACACATCTGTCGGCCCTGAAAACTCTCCCTTCTGCAGCAACCCCAGACACTCACCCAGAGTTATGGAGGAGGCGAAGAGGCTGAGGACGAGGAGGAAGTGCATATTCCCAGATGTCCCCTGTAGCTGGGATCGAAGCCCGGCTCGGGAACCTTGAACGGTTGCGAAGTCTCTGCTTCTGAATGACCCAGTGGCGAGTGGTGCTTGGCAGAAGAAAGTGGACAAACACTTCCCAGTAGGAGGGGGAAGAGACATCAGGACAACCCCTTATCCTCATCCCCCTGAGCAGAGAGGCGGGTCCACAGCTTGCTGGATCGGAAATCCACTGTGGTTTCTTGAAAAATACAGAGACGGATGAGTGACTTAGCTTAGCGTACTTTATTTAGCACAGAAAAAGACAACTTTAGCCATCTCGCAGGCCAACTTACATCCCCCCTGAATCTACCACCCAGAACACACACACACACCCACTACCCAATAGGTTCTAACTCGTAGCCGAGAGTCCCATAGGCTCTCGGGCGGGAGCCTAGCCCTCTGACTGGTGTGGCTAGGATCCACATCGTCCAGTGTTTATCTGAGCGAAGCTCGATGTTTGCGCTTGACCGCGTGGCGCCCACGCTGACCACACGGTCAGGACCGGATACATTATATTTAGAAGAAGAAGAAGAAGAGATTGGATTTATACCCCGCCCTTCACTTGGAGTCTCAGAGCGGCTTACCAACTCCTTTCCCTTCCCCTCCCCACAACAGACACCCTGTGAGGTGGGTGGGGCTGAGAGAGCTCTGACACAAACGGCTCTTTTTCAAGGACAGCTGTGCCAGAGCTTGTGACTGACCCAAGGTCACATCAGCAGGTGCAAGTGGAGGAGTGGGGAATCAAACCTGGTTCTCCCAGATTAGAGTCCGCGCACTTAACCACTACACCAAACCAGTACACACACACACACACACCCCTTGCGTTAATATCATCAAATCTGTACACATCTGGGGGAACCACTTTGGATCGGCCTGAGAAGCTGTTAGCTACCAAGGGGAGACGGGCGGGCAGCCGCCTTCCCCGCCCTTTCAACCAGATGCTGCCGTAGATACTTTGCTACACATCAGTGTAGAGCCTGTGGGGTTTCGTCCCCCACCCCCGTCGCTTAACAAGAGAACCTGGAAGAATCACGTGTCTTTCTCTTGCATCGGAATCATTCTGCCGACCTCACACAGACCAGTTCCGACAACTATTGTGCAACAGCAGAGCCCCGCTGGACACATTTGTTTGGTTTGGCTCAAGGCCTGATAGAGGGGAGTTCTCCTGGGGGGGGGGGTGTTGCTGTGTTTTTTGTTTCTTTCCCAACTGCCTTCCCTGGCCCACCTACAGAAAAAATGCTTAGTGCGCTCCAAACCCGAGGCTGAGCAGAGAGAACTGTACGTGCACATAACCGGCTGTGTGTTTCCTGGCCGCCAAGACCTGACCCTGGCCCTCTTTTGCTCCGACGTCTGTGCACGGGAAAAGAACATATATATCTGTCCCAGCTTTCCTTGCTGGAGATGGGCAGCCGTCCGAGTCAAGAATGCCTGGACAGAGATGAGATACCAGTGAAGCTAAATTTAACTGCACGCCAGCTTGGGGGCTTTCTCCCTAATCCAGTGTAGCCTACGGTGGTGGGGAGTGTGCGGTGGCAGTAATCTAAGGACATGTTGATTCTCTGGGAGGCACTGGATGTCGCTGTCCAAAGCAGCACTGACCCATCTGCACATGTATGTTCCCTCCCTGCTCAAGTTTTGGAGCTATAAATCACCAGATGGGGGGTGGGGAATGCCTTGAGCACTGCACAACCCAAGTGACCCCTTCAGTGGCCAACAATGGAACTTCTCGCCACACTTTCGGCAAATGCTCAGGTATTATTCTCTGGAAAAGCTAAGGATGTTGTCAAGAAGGCAGAGGGAACTGAAGTAAGCGTGAGGGACTCGCCCTATGCCTGGGGTCACTGCCACAGGATGGAGGAAGGAGGAGGAGGAGATTGGATTTATACCCTGCCCTTCAGTACCCAAAAAGAGTCTCAGAGTAGCTTACAATCTCCTTTCCCTTCCCCTCCCTGCAACAGACACCCTGTGAGCAATGTTCCCTCTAAGCTTCGGAGTCTTACGAGTTAACATTCTAGTTTGTGAGCTCCTGGCATTAAAGTTGTGAGCGAGTGTTTTGGCTTCTGCAGAAATTAGTTTGCTCTGGAGCCATCTTTCCTGAGCTAAGACAAAAATGTGTGAGCCGGAGGCTAAGAAACTGTGAGTTAGCTCACACTAACTCATCTTAGAGGGAACACTGCCTGTGAGGTAAAAGAAGAAGAGATTGGATTTATACCCCGCCTTTCACTACCCAAAGGTGTCTCAAAGTGGCTTACAATCTCCTTTCCCTTCACTTCCCTGCAACAGACACCCTGTGAGGTAAAAGAAGAAGAAGAGATTGGATTTATACCCCGCCCTTCACTACCCAAAGGTGTCTCAGTGCAGCTTACAATCTCCTTTCCCTTCCACTCCCCACAACAGATACTCCTGTGAGGATGGAAGGGGCTGAGAGAGCTCTTTTGACAACAGCTCCGAGAGAACTGTGACTGACCCAAGGTTACGCCAGCAGCTGCATGTGGAGGGGTGGAGAATCAAACCCGGTTATCCCAGATTAGAGTCCGAGCTCCTAACCATTGCATCAAACTGGCTCTCTCAGAAATCACTCAGCCATATGGCAGCCATGTGTCTTCTTGGCACTTCTTTGAAGTGAAGTGGCTTAAGGGGATGCTATGGAAGGAGAGGGGGAGAGAAATTAAAGGGGAGGGCTGAGACAGGACACACAAATGGTGGACGTCAAAACACTGTGAACCTTAAACAGGCTGGCAAGTGATCCTTAACTGCTGGTTTGTCAGCCAATGAAGCAGCATTTCCATTTGCAGAGGAGAGTCATTCTTATCCACTCTCCCTTCCCACATTTGTTGTTGTCGTTGCTCAGTCGCACAGTCGAGTCCGACTCTTCACGACCCCATGGACCAGCTCCCGCCAGGCCCTCCTGTCTTCCGCCGTCCTCTGAAGTTGGCTCAATTTCATGTTCGTTGCATCTGTGACACTGTCTAACCATCTCATCCTTTGCCGTCCCCTTCCCACATTGCCCCCGTCCAACTGTCCACCGATCTCCCCAGGAGCAATTTCAGCTGAAGGCACAGGAGGCAGGGAATCTCCTCGGTCCCCTGTGACTCCAAACCGCGCTCTGTTCAGTGAACTTCGACACAATTCTTCTTTTGTCTTAAAAAGTTTAGTCCTCCTTAATTTGATTGTCAACTTTGTGATGTGTTAAAAAAAATCGATAAAAATATAGGTGTAGAAGAACATGTAGGTGACATAAGATTCCAAGGTGAGGGGGCACTGTAAGACAGAGCGGCCTTTAGTGGCCCAGGAAATGTACAGATATTTCGGGCTGAAAGGTATTCTACGATTAGTAAGAACATTAGAACGTAGCAAGAGCCCTGCTGGATCAGACCAGTGCTCCAAGTAGCCCAGCATCCTGTCTCATGAAGGGGCAAAGCAGTTCCTCTGGAGGGCCAACAGCAGGGCGTAGAGGCCGAGGCCTTCACAAGAGCATCAGAAGAGCACTACTACATAAGACCAGTGGCCCATCTAGTCCAGCATCCTGTCTCACACTGTGGCTAACCACTTCCTCTGGAGACCCAACAACAGGACATGGCGGCTGAGGCCTTCATAAGAGCATCAGAAGAGCACTACTAGATAAGACCAATGGCCCATCTAGTCCAGCATCCTGTCTCACACTGCAGCTAACCACTTCCTCTGGAGACCCAACAACAGGACATGGTGGCTGAGGCCTTCAGAAGAGCATCAGAAGAGCTCTGCTGGATCAGACCAGTAGTCCTCCTAGTCTAGCATCCAGTCTTACACAGTGGCCAACCAGTTCCTCTGGAGAGTCAACCACAGGGCATGAAGGCCAAGGCCTTCATAAGAGCATAAGAAGAGCCCTGCTGGATCAGACCAGCGGTCCAGCATCCTGTCTCACACAGTGGCCAGCCAGTTCCTCTGGAGGGCCAACCACAGGTCATGGAAGCCAAGACCTTCCCCTGATGTTGTCCCTGGCCCAGAGGTCATTTCGGGGGGGGATCACGGGGGATCGCAGTTCCCCTGGGTGAAGTACGGGGGACGGGGCACATGATGAAGCCCCGCCCCCTGCTTCCGACTGCTCCACTTCCAGCCCTCATTCAGCCAGAAGGAGGCAGGAGAAGAGGGAGGGTAAGTTGCCAGGGAGGGCCTTTGCGGGGCTTCCTTGCACTCCCGCTGGCCTTGCAGGTCCACCGCCGGGCCCCTCATGGAGCTCGGCAGTGGAGCTGCAATGCCGCCGGTGGCGGCCGGGACCGTTGGGGGCGGGGTGTGTGGCCTTATGACACACTTCCGGTAATGTCAGGGGGCGTGGCCTTATGACACACTTCCGGTGATGTCAGGGGGTGTGGCATATGCTAATGAGTTATGCTAATGAGTTCCCCTAGCTCTTTTTCTATGAAATGACCCCTGCCCTGGCCACAGTTCCCTGTAGCGTGCGTTTGTGCACAATCTCGCAGGGATTTCCCCCAGTTGACGCACAGCTTCTCCTCTATGCACGGGAGATTCCTCTGGGATGCCCCGTCCTCCCACTTAGGTGGCCTGTTGGTGCCTGCTTGCCTGAAATAGGAGCTGCCCCCTGCTTGCTTCTAGTACGTTGCAGTTTCCTGTGCAGTTCTCCCAAGCATCTTCCCTGCTGACTGCTCCTGGAGAACATCATCTCGAAGCACCAGCCAGCTGGGGTAAGTAGCAGATAGGGCTGTTGGGAGACTGCCAGGGGAGGCCCCGGTAGCTGTGCAGCCTGGCCCCAGTAGCTGGTTTGGTTAGGGTTGCCAAATCTTATTCACTCACAGGTGGGGGGAGCGTCTTCTGCTCCGGGAGCTGGCTGGGGATGTGCGCGCACGCGCCGCCAGAACATCACTGGAAGTGACGCACAACGTAGGCACATTGGGGGCGTGGCTTAGATCGTCGGGGGGAAACCATATGGTTTTCCCCTCCGACAGGCTGGGCCATGCCCCCAAAGTGCCCTACGTCGTGTGTCACCTCTGGCAACCTAGTCCTCCACCCACCCACCCCAGCCAGGGGGGACATAGCAACTGTATGCTGGTGAAGGAGCATATGCAATACAGCTAGTAGTTTATATTTCATGTCTGTATGTTTTGTGTGTATTATTCTTCAAATACGGTTTAAATATAATCTAAAAGAATTTATTCTGAGATTTTTACAAGGTTATGGAAGTAATCTAAAAAACTAATTTACCTGATAGTCAAATGTGGACTCGCTCACAACTTTAATGCTACTAGTTTTCCCCCGCTCGCGAGGTAGAATTTCTGCTCACAACACTGTGGAGCTTAGAGGGAACATTGTCCCTGGCTATGGAAGTCAGAGGTTGACTGCCCCTGAACATGGAGGTTCCTCTCAGTCACCATGGCCAGTAGCCACTGATAGGCCTATCCGCCACGAATCCCTTTTAAAGCTGTTTATTCCTGTGGCCATCACTACATCCTCTGGCACCGAATTCCACATTTTAATCACTCTCTGCGTAAAGAAGTATTTCCCTTTGGCCGTCCTTTAACTTACTGCCTATCCGTTTCGTTGGATGCCCTTGAGTTCTAGCGTTTTGGGAGAGGGGTAGAAAATTATCTATGTCAACTCTCTCCACCCCATACATAATTTTATGAGCCTGTGTCATGTCCCCCCTTAGTCTCTTTTCTGAACTGAAAAGTCCCAGACTCCTCAGCCTTTCTTCAAAGGGAATGTGCTCCAACCCCCTAATCATCCTGGTTATCCTTCTCTGTAATTTTTCCAACTCTGCAAGGTCCTTTTGGAGATGCGGTGACTAGAACTGTGCACAGTATTCCAAATGAGGCTGCACCATAGATCTGTACAGGGGCATTACAATAGTGGCCGTTTTATTCCAAACTGTTTCATAATAGAGATTTACTTCATTTCATTTTCAGTTAAGTGGTGGTGCTGGACAATGCCATCAAGCTGCAGCCACCCCTGTAGGGCAGGGGTGTCAAACATGTGGCCAGCGAGCCAGATCAGATCAGGCCGTCAGAAGTCTCCTATCCAGCCTGCAAGGAAGTGGCTGTCTCCTGCTCCTTTCTCCAATTCTACTGCTGCTGCTGTGTCAACAGCTTGCTTTACCAGACTCTCTCAATTGCACAGGAGAGATAGATAGGCAAGCTTCTGTTCCCTGCAGTGGCTGAGGCTCCTCCTCCTCCCAGGGAGAGGGTGGGAATGAGCCAGAGCTTGCTTGCTTCCTGGCCAGGCTCCCTCCATCACACAGGTGACAAAGGCAAGCCTTTCTTCCCCTCCATTGGCTGAGGCTCCTCCCCTTGCTCCTCCCTTGCTTTTCTCAGATGCCTCAATCACACAGGAGAAATACAAAGCATCTTTAAGACCAACAAAGCTTTATTCAGGGTATGAACCTTTGATGCCCTTGCTGCAATGTCTGTTTTGTTGGGCTCATCATGCCAGAGCTCTTCTGGGTGCAACTGGGTTCCCTCCCCCTTTTCACTGTATTCATGCTCTCATGGTTCAGTCTTTCTCAGTAGGAAAGCAATGTGGACTATGAGGAATAACAACAAGCCAGTGAGGTGGATTAGGCTGAAACTGTGTGTCCAGACCAAGTTCACCCAGCACATTTCCTTTGTAGACTGGGGGGTTTGAACCTAGACTTCCCAGATAGTAGGCTGATACTGACCACTATACATGTCTGTCTCTCTACTCTTGCACTGCCTCATAGGAGTTGTAGTAGACAAACACATAGCCCTCAGTCTGTGTCAGGATGCCTTCTCGTGTTCTTGACCAGCACACAAAGCAATTGTGTTAGAACACAATTGATGTACAAAAGCTCACAATGCCCAGCCTTTTCGTGTTTTCTCCTGGGTCCTAGGCTCAGAACACTGAGCATGAGATTTCCGTAATGCATGTCAATAAAGTAGACTTGCAGCTTACAGATACACACCTGAACAGCATACTCAAGATTGCTACAGCACAGACATTTTGATGCAATAATTCAGAGCAAGAGGTGTCAATTATCAGAAACTGTTAAATAAACAAAATATTGCAAGAGTACTGATGTTTTAAGCATGTTTTATTTAAAGTTTTTTTTAAAAAAATCTTTAGTTGTGTTTGTGTCCTTTATAAAGCTTAAATCTCCACTACCTGGCATTACATTTTATGACACACATAGCCCAACCCCACAAGGTCTCATTTATGTCAGATCTGGCCCTCATAACAAATGAGTTCGACACCCTTGCTGTAGGATTTTCAAGGCATTCAGAGGTGGTTTGCCATTGCTCACCTCTGCATTATGACCCTGGTATTCCTTGACGGAGAGTCCCATAAGCTTAAAAATGGCATGGCATGGGCTTCAGAGAAAGGTACCCAATGTGCCCAGCGTGGTCTGGTGATGGAACTGGTTCCAGACTGACCACTGCTGACCACTCCTTGGCGGCAGTGCTGCTGGATCTCTTTGGAGTCGCTCCAACAAACCATTACCAAAGCCACCTGTGGAAGGGAAGGCAGCCTAGTTGAGCCCAGTCTCAGGAGCTAAGCAGGGTCAGTACTTGGAAGCGAGACCACCAAGGAAGGTTCTGCAGAGGGAGGTGATGGCAAACCACCTCTACTTCTCACTGGCCTTGAAAGCCCCTTGCTGGGGTCACCTTAAGTTCATAGTCTAGCCCAATCTCATCAGATCTCAGAAGCTAAGCGGGGTCAGTTCTTGGAAGCGAGACCACCAAGGAGGACTCTGCAGAGGAAGGTCATGGCAAGCCACCTCTGCTTCTCACTGGCCTTGAAAGCCCCTTGCTGGGGTTGCAGTAATTCAGCTGCCACTTGATGGCACTGTGCACACGCACACAACGGCACCTGCCAGGCACATCAGATGTGGCCTCCTTCAAAGAATGGTGGCCATGCTTGGCTGCCCCCTTCTTCTGCCAACTCTGCCTTGAGAAATTTGGAGGTGATACTTGAGGGAAGTGGAGTTTGGAGAGGGGAGGGAACTCAGTGGGGACATGTTGTTACAGAGCCCACCCCCTGAAGCTGCTGTTTCCTCCTGGGGAACTGATCTTTCTAGTCTGGAGATGTAATTCTGGGAGAACTCCAAGCCTCACCTGGAGATCAGCAGCTGTTCTTCTTCAAGTGCCTACTGCCTCCAGAGGCCATAGGAAGGTGGGGTGTGTGAACAGGTACACGGGGGCAGTGCATTCTCTAAAAGTCTGTGCTCTGAGTTTGACACAAAGGCTGCCACCAAGTGGCAAGGAGGAGGAACTGCTTGAGCAGAATCCCTGAATCTTCACCTCGGGGCAAGTCAACTGAGGATCTTCCCGAGCAGGACACCAGAAATGGCTTGGAGGAAGAGTCTGAGGGATACTGGGAAGGAGCCGGCCGTCCCAGAGGCTAGTGTGCAATTGGCTGTTGTAACGACCGTCATCCCAGCAAACGAGCCCGAGCTGTGAAGTGTATCATTGCAAGTAGCCATGTTGGAGCAGCCCTTCATGACGTTTGTTACGGTCATCGCCCCTGCAGAAAGAATTCCAGGAGGTTCTTGTCAGTATCAGGAGAAATGCAAGGCCCAGGAACTACCACCTCTTCACTGCCTCTCCATATAGACTGGCTAACCATCACCCAGTCGGGAACCAGCTGCAATCCGATTAAAGGCCATAGAACCAGGGGAACCTAGGACCCAAGGGAAATCTTCATCACTTCCTGGTTTGGGCTGCATGGGTGGAGCTTTGGTGTTATATATAAAGCCTGTTGAAAGAGTGGGGCAAGGAGAAAGACCATGGGTGGAGCAGGGCTGGCTGGCATGTTGTGGACTCCGAGCTGAAAATTCCTGGAGATTTGTGGGGGTGGAGCCCAGGATAGGTGGGATTTGGGGAGGGACCTCAGTTGGGTATAGTGCCTTAGAGTTAACTCTCCAGAGCAGCCATTTTCCTCTAGGGGAACTGATCTCTGTAGCCTAGAGATCAGTCATAATTTTGGGAGATCTCCAGGCCCTGATTGGATGCTTAGAAAAACACCATGTTGGAACACAACACACAACACTAATATGTTACTATGTCTTCCAAGAAAAAATAATTTTGGTTCCAGGAAAAATAATTCTGCCTGAAGAAGAATCTCTCAAAACATGCAAATTTTGCCTGGGAGGCATGTTGCTTTGATGCTCGCTGTCTCTCTTTTCGGAAAGCAAAACAGCCTAAAACGTCGGCATTGGTGACTGTTGCATCTTTCATCAGTCTCTCATCAAAAAGCAAAATAGTCTACAGCACTGAAACCTGTCTCTGCAGCTGTGGACTTTTCTACTAGATATATATTGTTCTTTAATTTTTTGTACTATAATGAATAAGATACACTAGGTATATGATTTAAATCAATATATGAAGACATAGTAGCATATTAGTATTGTGTGTTTTGTTCTAACACAGCGGGCGATTTCGCACTAGAGCTGCCTCGCGGCGCAGCCGCCATTTGCCCCGACACTATTTGTCAATTTCACACCCAAAGCTGCGGGGCTGCATTTTGACTCACAGCTTCGCCCGATTTCCTCCGCAGTTTCGTGATCCTGGTTTTTGAGGATCATGAAACTGCAGAGGAAATCGGGCAAAGCCACGGGTCAAATGCAGCCTCGGGTGTGAAATTGACAAATAGTGTCGGGGCAAACGGCGGCTGCGCCGCGAGGCAGCTCTAGTGCGAAATCGCCCAGTGTTTTTCTACGTTTGCTCCCACTTGGATGCTGGGAACCCTGGCTGGGTTGGGTGGGCCAGGGAGGCCAGGGTGAAGTAGCTTCTTCTCCCTCCCATTAAGGGCATATTTTAGAAGGAGAATGGGCTAGGGTTGCTATCCCCCCACGGGGGCAGGGGTTCACCTACTTTTGGGGGCCCCAATCCACCGATGGTCAGCTGGCCAGTGGGGTAGCCCCACCTGCAAAGAGCCCTGTTGTGCTCAATGTTCCCGGCATGATGATACCACCCAGAGGTAACATCATCGCACCAAGCATGTTGCATGGGGTACACTCTAGCATTTGGACTAAAACTCTATGGTGACCATGGAGTTTTTTGTCCAAATGCTAGAGTGTCCCCTGCACGACATGCCCATTGCGATGATATCCAGGTGACATTGTTGCAGCTTGCACGTTTTGCACACGTGCCAGAAGATCTTGGGACCAGGCAGGAGCACCCCTGCCAGCAGCCGAGTAAGACCTGGCAACTCTAGAATGGGCCCAGTCAATTCTTGCTCTTGCACTTCTTGCCAGCTGCGGCATTTTCTGCTTCCAGTTTGGCTTGAGGGCTGCCGCATTTGATTAAAAAGAGATAAAAAGATGAGTCTATATCAGGTGACAGGAGGAAAGATAATGGGAGGGGCCTTATATACGCTGCAAAGTTTCAAATAGAGTTGGGCGAATCCTGCAAATCCCGCACTTGTTGAAGAAGTGTTCCTGGGAAAAGACAAGCCTCCCACCAGTGTTCCCTGTAAGATGGGTTAGTGCGAGCTAGCTCACAGTTTTTTAGCTGCCGGCTCACACATTTTTGTCTTCACTCAGGAAGGAGGGCTCCAGAGCAAACTAATTTATGCAGTAGCCAAATCACCCAGTAGTTCACAAAATAAAAATTTTGCTCAGAAGGCTCCACAGCTTAGAAGGAGCATTGCCTGCCACCAGGGCTCTTTTTGTAGAAAAAGCCCAGCAGGAACTCATTAGCATAATAGGCCACACCCAACAGCAGAAACTCATTAGCATATTAGGCCACACCCCTGACAGCACAGCTCATTAGCACATTAAGCCGCACCCCCGTGTTGCCAGAAGCGTGGTCATCCAGCCACACCCACCTTTTGCTTCTTATTCTGTTTACCTTGTTTGTTGTCAAAACCCAGGGCCTTTTTTTGTAGCAGGAACTCCTTTGCATGTTAGGCCACACACCCCTAATGCAGCCAATCCTAATGAGTTTCTGCTGTTAGGTGTGGCCTATTATGCTAATGAGTACCTGCTGGGCGTGGCCAACTCAGGAGCCAGCCGGAACTCCGTTCCTGTGAGTTCCTGACCAAAAATAGCCGTGCCTGCCACATGAATGTATGTGTCACTTGTATGCAAATAATTACAGTTACCTAGACTTGTAGTCCCAGACAACTCGAAACAATAGAGCTCATCTCCAGCACATTGGGCGATCTCTTCCTTGCATGTAAAGCCGTGGATAGCATAACAAGCTGGGCATCTTTTCCCATTGTGTGAGGTATTGATGGGTGGCACTGCATGAAAGAGAGAGACAGATTTGTCTTGAAAGGACAGTGCTGCCACAAGGATTAAGAATAAATCACAGGGATCATCATTGAAAAAAATGGTGATTCCTAGAGAGGACTGGCATCACTTCAAGATTGTCAAGGAAGTGACATCATACTGTTGACTTGATGACCCTGTGCAGAGCCCCAGCCTAGTGAACTCCCACCAACTACAGGCCATGGTATTTCGGTCTGCCAGCCCTGGGTAAGTAAATTCCTAGGGATTTGGGGATGGAGCTTGGGAAAGGCAGGGTTTGGACCTCAGCGGGGTATAATGCCATAGAATCCACCCTCCAAAGCAGCCATTTTCTCCAAGGGAACTGATCTCTGTGGCCTGGAGATCAGTTATAATTTTGGGCAGTGTGAAGAAGAAGAAGAAGAAGAAGAAGAAGAAGAAGAAGAAGAAGAAGAAGAAGAAGAGGAGGAGGAGGAGGAGGAGGAGGAG